GAAGGAAGGAAGGAAGGAAGGAAGGAAGGAAGGAAGGAAGGAAGGAAAGAAGGAAGGAAAGAAAAATTCTTGTGGATTCAAACTCAATAGTTAGTTTATATCTACGAGTTAGGAGGCACACAGAGAACCTTGGGTCTTACTGAGCGCTGCAGGCCGCAGAGGGCTCGGTGCCTTTTAAAGGTACTTTCCTCCTTGGCTCTCAAGAGATGTCAGAAACTGCTGTTAGTTAATAAGTATTATCTCATGTAAGACCTACACCTATTTCCCCTCCTCTCTCTCTCTTTCTCAAAATTATAAGGAAATTAATAGTTCTCACCCTATGTGAGGGTGGTCAACTTTGTTCCAGTGGAGTAAAATGTCCCAAAGAAAGCTGAGTTTTAAGTAAGCTGATTCGTGCAACTATCAACAGAGCTGTTAAACTGTGGGAATTTTAACTAAGAAATGTGAGCAGTGACACCCGCGGTGGATTAAGAGGAGGGAGTCCAAACTAATACAGAATGAAAAAATGATGAGGTCGTATGAGCTCTGCTTTCCCTTTCCCTTATGATTGAAATTTGTTTTAATTTTCAACTGATGATTGACCTCCATTGAGAAGGAAAAATACTGTGTTGTCTGACCGGACCAAAGTATTTCCTTTGCCTACGTCTAGGCCCTCTTGCAAGGTTTTCTTTGCTGCGGATCCCATCAAAATAATGCGAGCCCAGGGGCAGTACATGTTTGACGAGAAAGGTGAAAGGTACTTGGATTGCATCAACAACGTGGCTCACGGTAAGCATCCTGTGCGTAGAGCTTTGGAGGAAATGACTGTAGAGCCCGGTTGTCTCGGGAAATTTCATGTCAGCTGTCCGGCTGCTGAGTCGTCCTAAAAGGAAAAAGCTTCCGCAAAATGCGGGGAGAAAGGAATCCAACCCCTTTTTCCTTTTCCATCAAAATTCCCCTCTCCTCCCAAGCTCTTAGGGCTGTTGACTATTCATGTCCTACATTTTAGTGGGACACTGTCACCCAGAAGTGGTCAAAGCCGCAGCGAAACAGATGGAACTACTCAACACGAATTCTCGCTTCCTCCACGACAACATCGTGGAGTATGCCAAGCGCCTTACAGCCACCCTGCCGAAGAGGCTCTCTGTTTGCTACTTTACAAATTCGGGGTACGTGTCTGGTTTCTGGCATCCTCACTCCCCGTTTATGCTTGCGTACCTTTTCCTTTTGATGTGTGGTGTGACACAGATGTCTAGAAAAAATTAAGGAAATTCTGCCACTCACTAAGTAACCTTTATTAGGAGCGGACCTTTCTGTACCATTCATTTCAAGACTCCGAGCATAACAGGATACAGTGACATCATCTTGTCACTCAGTAAAGTGTGTAATGCAAATCGCGGGCTCACATAGCCTTTTCAATACATAAATGCAGATCTCAGCAAATAAATGGCCCTACTAAACAAGTGGTAATTTCATAAGATTTTTTTTACTAACTTGCTTTTCTACAATAATTGAGCATATTTTCCCAACACAAACACGAGGAAATTCAAGTGAAGATACATTCCAACTTTTACATTTTGTAAGCGTAAATGGTTATGTACCCATTCTGTGGATAACTCTACAGGTATCCGAAAGTATGGTATGCACATGCATGCCCAAGGAACTCATGTTTGAGGAAAGCGGTATATAGCATTCCTGTTTTTAAAGGGTTAAGTGTATTGAATTTGTTATTTAGAAAGCTATAATGTCTGCTTGTGTGATTTTCTGTGACTCATTTTTCCATAAGGTATTTTATAATGAGCACACCATTATTTTGTTTTAGAAGGAACTGAGGCAGTCTTTGAAGATCTCCTGTATTGTTAGAAGTCATCCTTGCCTTTTATAAGTGAAGTATAGTGGTTTTCATCTTTAGAGAATCCTAGACTATCAAAGAGGAACGTGGTTCCAAGCAGCGCTGTCGTTAGAGAACACGCGTGATGCTGCACATTTCCTGCAAAAAAAAATAATAGTCTCAAAGTCATCCCAGGCATCTATCTAAATCCTGGCCATATGTCCAATCAGCTGTAAACCTTGCTCTGGTTCCCATAGAAAAGGAGATGGCAATACTTGCCTTGCAGCATTATTGTGAGAATAAACAGAAGCAAATGCTCAGCTGATCACAAGCATCCCTTGAGAATGTTTATCCAAATAAGGAAAGTATACTTAGACTCTTAAACTAGGTAAATAACGCGATGATGTTCTTTCCTTAATCAAATAATGAGTCCCTATGACATGGATTGGCAGTCAGGCTAAAGGTCTTCCATCCCTCCTGAGATAGGGTATTCAATGGCAGCTAAGGGTCTTCCATCCCTCCTAGATAGGGTATACAATGGGCTTTTCAGGATCCTTAAAACGAGTCATCACTGATGCGGCTACATGAAGTGGGCCATTTTTCTGGGTTTCTTCTGTGTCTTGGTCCTTAATGGCTGTGACACATGTGTTAGAAAATGACATTGAACTGGGCGGTGGTGGCACACACCTTTAATCCCAGCACTCAAGAGGCAGAGGCAGTCAGATCTCTGTAAGTTTGAGGCCAGCCTGGTCTACAACAGCTAGTTCCAGGACAGGCTCCAAAGTTACAAAGAAATACTGTCTTGGAAAAAAAAAAAAAAACACAAAGAAAGAAAGAAAGAAAAAAAGGAAGGAAGGAAGGAAGGAAGGAAGGAAGGAAGGAAGGAAGGAAGGAAGGAAG